TTTGACTTGAGGACTACTACGGACTATTCCGATTTCTAAACTACGTTGACACTTGAGGGAATGGTCAGGTTTCCGAGTTACGTTACCTTAGTTGCTTTACCTTTTCATCGAATTTCTTTCAATTATTACATCGAGTTCTGAAGATTGCAAGGTCCATTTTGTCAATTAGTTTTTTTTGAGTTTGCAGTTGCTTCATGTTGCTCATGTGCCTATGGTGCATGCAATAAATAGTAAATAGTAAATTAAAATGAAGGAAAACGGAGTCGAACGCGGTTGCCAGCCAATTTGCATGAATAGCCGGGAAGCACCCTTACTTTCAACTGCGGCAATGGTGTAGTGGTTGGTCTTGCATCGCGGGCATGCCATGAAGGGTTCGGATTTCTGGAAGGGAACTTGTTTTGCATTTTGTGGGGAATGTCTCTTTTGAGTCTAGAAAACACTCAAACGCCAAATGGGTGCCATATTCGTGTTCAGGGAGCAAAACTACCCTTGGGGACAGGTTTCTAGCCAGATGTGAGGTTTTGACCTAACTTTGAAAAGTGCGGTAGCAGTTGATCGAACAATGGTCACCAATAGTTCTAGGGCCAGTCTATTGTCGATTGCTTGTCTTCGGACGGAATTTGCTTTTAGATATCAGGAAAACTGAAGCAGTAACAAAATGAATGCGTAAGAAGTGGCAAGACGAGGTTTTGTGCAGGAGAATGTATCTGCAGTGTGAATAGGTGTGAATATTAACGTGAACTAACAACAACCCAATGGTACCTCACTTGTCGAAGTCAAGTAAAAATGCCAGATTTGGGAAAACTTTACTTGAGTGAGTTCCCCCCCAGAAATACGCATATGGCACTCGCTCAGCGCGAAAACGCCTGCACTGCGCGCCAAGGGCACCTGTACATCCAAAAATTCTTCTAGATCACAGGAGCCGAAGCGCGCCAGTTAGTGAATGCGAAGTGTTTCTCAGGCAACTCAAGGAGAGCGCTAATGTAGTAGTGACGCCAACCACTTTTTGCCACGTTTGCGCAAGAAGCAAAAAAGTTAAGCTCAGCAGGGATCCGACCCATGACCTGTTGCGTGGTAAACGCGGTGGAAAAAGCTCCATAACTCCGTTCAGAAAATCGTTCTGCAAATTTCGAAGGCAGATTCGAGATCAGCGTCCAAAACCACGTCTAGTGAGCTACATCTCATTACAAATGGCCACTTCGACCTGACGACCTTCCCTAGTGAGATACAGCACGGCTTCGCCGAGCGGGCGCGGCTCCGCCGCGCTTACCTTCTCCCACAGATTTCAGTCCACCTAGTATCCGCCTTTTCTTTTATTTGAACAGATGATCAACATTCTTTGACCAATAGCATGTTCATATTCCACATCATACGTGCTATTTTCAACACTATTACGGTGTATGGAATGGTGGTAAGGAGCGTTGATCAAGTGGACAGATGAGAGAAAAGCCGGGTATTAGTCGAGCATTTGATCATACGAATGCAGGTAGGCGCGATGGAGCCACGCCCCGCAAGGCCGGGCCGTATCACAGAGGAGGTCTGGAGTGCCTGGAGTGCTCTGGAACCGCTTGAAGAGTCTCTAAGGGTCGGGCACGCACCCTCCACCCACAGGGTATGCCTCACACTTGTAAACCGGCGACCCCTTGATGAACTATTTTGTTCCGGTGTCTGGTGTTCAGAATCGTTTCAGGGATTTTCAGTGTTGGCTGCGCTCACCTCCTTGCACGGTCCGCTTGCAACGGGTGTGCCTCACAGTTGCGGACCGGTGACCTCTTGATGATTTCAAAATTACTTTTTCGCGGGATCTTGAGTGCTCTGGAACCGTTAAATTTTTTAGTTTAGCTCCGCCCAACTCGCTGCACGCCCCGCCCACAGCGGGTGGTCATCGAATCACAAGTGCCTCACACTTGTGAATCGATGACCCATCGCTGATCTTGAACTACATTTTTCCCGGTGTCTGGAATGTTGTAGGACCGTTTGATTTTTAGATTTTTTTTCTGCCCCCACATCGATGCATGCTCCCTTCACAACGTTTGCCTCGCGCTTCTCAACCGATTAACCCTCCACCGCCGATTTGAAACCATTTTGCCCCGGTGTCTGATTGCCTGTGAAACCGTTTCACGAATTTTTCAAATTTGGCTACACCCACCTCGGGGCACGCTCCGCCCAGTGCTCGCGCATTCCGACATGTGATCACTTGGGGACCACAATCCACTTTTTGGCACCATCTGCAAAGCTTAACACCAAACCACGACTTTTTATACTGCTACCTCGTGCTCAAACGCATGCCGCCCAGCAGCACGCCGCAACGTGGTAGGATGCTGCCAGACGTTCATCATCAGCGAATGGACTTTTCTGGTGGTCTCTAATACATTTTCGGGGAACGAGGTTCGACCTTTGTGGGAAGCGCCGCCCATCTCAGGTACGCCCCGCCCATTCCGGGTATGTCGCCTCCATTTGGTGCGCCAACCCATCGCTAACCTTATTCCACTTTTTCTCGTCTCCGAGCTGTTTTGTAGCCAAGTATGGTTTTTTTCAGTAACGACGTGAAGTGGCGCCCATCTCAAGGGAACGTCCGCGCCCAATCTTGGGTGGTCTCCTATATTTGGTCGGTCAGCCCTTTGTTAACTTTACTGCACTGTTCCCTCACCTGGGGAGTGCTCTGGAACCGAGTTATGACTTTTTTCAGTGACATCGCTAACTTTTCGACGCATGCCCCGCCCACTGTGGGCGTGGTGATACCGTCGTAGCAAAAATAATGACCGTTTTCCCACCTGCTATGCTCCATTGAACATAATTCGTCCTTATGTATAGAAATGAGAAGCTCCTTTTCTTCCAAAAATATTTATTGACGACGTTTCGGGCCTAAGCCCTTCTTCAGGTCACTGAATTACACAAGCAATTAAGGTCTTACACACGCACAAACCGCAACAGTCACCATAGAAGGAGCAGCAACCTACAGCGAGTTGTCCGGGAAGGGGAGGTGGGACTGCCTAGACTTCTTGAGCGGATATAGGCAGAAATAGGAAAGTGGTAGGGTTCTGGGTATATATACAGATGTAGGACCAAGGATGATCTGGGAATAGTCACGCATTCCTTCGTAATGCACGTCCTACACTGATATCAGAGTCATTGCCACTCATCTCTTCCTTCATGTTGATCGGTGGGTTTAGCTGCTTAATTTCCAACGCTTCTCTTATCCTTCTTTCGACGGGATCAACAACGAAAGCTATCAACTTGAAGAGGACGCTACGATTTTCAGTGGGAGACAAATGTGGTGGTTTTGTTGTGATGTCACGGGAGCGAGACATTTCTCTAAGCGAAGATGTTCTATCAGATTCACCACATACGTGGTGGTTTCTGTTGAACACTATAAACGCGAATGTCGGAGTCTTGAAGAAGTTATAAGAAGGATTCTTGGTACGAAACTTGAGAAGGACATAGTGGATCAATTTTTGCCGAAATACGCGAAGCATACCAACTTATTACCAACTACTCAAGACACATAAGTTGGTCAGAAGCGAAGATGATGTAGTGGACCAAACACTTCTATCAAAACCAGACCTAATAGTAGCATCCTGTGGCGGTCCTACGGACCGTATAAGCTGGTTTCTCCAGCGTATACTCTCTCCTCTGCTTGCCCATGTTCCTCACCACCTCAAAAATGTGAAGCAGTTCCTGGAGCAATTAAGACAGTGCAACTTTCATGACAGGCCACGATTAGAATATGAAAGCTTCGACGTAGTTGCACTTTATACCAATGTTGATACCCGAAGAGCTGTAGAAGCATGTATGCATCTTTTGCGCCATCACCACCATCAGCTCCAGCTTTTTGGCCTTGATGTTGAAGACATTGGAGAGCTCCTACGAAACGTGGTGAATGTGAACATATTCCGCTTCAGAAACATCTTTTACAAGCAGACAAGAGGACTTGCCATGGGTAGCAGACTGGCTCCACTACTAGCAATAATATTTATGGATAGCCTTGAAAGAACGGCCTTATCACCGGGAGTGCTCTATTTTGGACGATATATCGACGACATATTCATCGTCGGAAGAGATCGCGAGGCTAGCTCATGACAGACATTTAAAACTAACAGCTGAACGCCCTCCCGCTGATGGGTTTCTCCCATTTCTGAACACCAAGATCAAGATTTCGGAAGGTCAGGTCAACACCATGTGGTACAGGAAATCGGCATCACAGAACATCCTAATTCATGCGAGAAGTTGCCATCCCCTCCACATGAAAGTGAACGTGATTCGCCACATGATATCTACATCACGTGAACTGACCTCAACGAATCATCAAGAAATGGAGGCAGAAGTTGAGAATATCCTATGGCGGAATGGATATAGGAACCAGCGACTTCATTGCTGGAGACCATGCCGATCACCTTGTGGCACTCCACTGATACTGCCTTTTATCAACGACCTCGTATAGCGGTGTGATGTTAATGACGTCGTCAAGAGATCAGGGCTCCCGATTAACCTGATCTTTCGACCACCTCCCACTTTACGACGCCTTTTAACATCATCGCGACCCTATGAAAGTCGC